ACTATATTGGAATCTATATTGGGGTCCCCTGATTTTGGGAAACCACCCAATTTCAAGCCAGGTTATACCCGCATCCCAGGACCGGGTGGCAGCTTCCGAAATCCTAAGTCTACAATGGAAAACGCAGTGGCTTAGGGTTTAGGGTTTACGTAAGGTTTAAGGTTTAGGGTTTAGGGCTATGACATGAACTGTAAACTAAACTCCTCGTATCCCGCTTAGCAACCGCTACAAGACTCCCCCATATCCACTTATATAACTGCCCTTGAGGACTTTAGACTATAGCTCACATGGAAGATGTTGTGAAGGAGTGTAGGGCGTAGGGCTTTAGGGCTTAGAGCTTTAGGCTTGGGAGTTCGGGGCTCCACCCTTAGACCTTTATGCCAGGAAGCAGGTGAATCCTCGCAACCAAAATGCTCAGTTGGGAGGGGCAAAACGGATCCTGAAAGCAGTACCCGTCGCCGACAAAAAACATCCTTATTATAGTCGGCACGACCCACCCCGTCATTCCAACTCGCTATACCCTAAAGCACGAACTGTGCATGATTTGGCAGTTTCCATGTTCTTTCCCATCTCTCCATTCCATGACTAACTTTCAATCCTGGCAAATTACACAATATACTATAGTAGTTTCCATTTTATTTTCCATTATCCCTATATAACCCCAATATACTATAGTAGTTTCCATTTTATTTTCCAATCCTGAATAGCTATCCCTCCGAGGGCCGCTGCCAAGCCGGACCAAGCAGAACCATCCTGCATGCATGGTTTGGGGGGGTTTAGGGTTTAGGGGTATAGGGTTTAGGGTTTAGGGATTAGGGCTTAGGGTTTAGGGGTATAGGGTTTAGGGTTTAGGGTTAGGGTATAGGGTTTACGGATTTAGGGGTCTAGGGGTTTAGGATTGAGGGTTGAGACAAACCCTAAGCCCTTCCACCGCGTGGCTTCAGTGTTCAAAAGAAAGGTCGGGTTATGTACCTTGGAGGTCTCTTAAACCTGTCATCTACATATACCGTACATAGTATAACTTACAAAATGAGGGTTCCTCTAAATATCCGCTTTGATCCAGAAACGCTACGCAAATAGAGAGCACCTGCCAGCATTAGGTCAACGGTTCAGGTCTATGTTTGGGCTTTGAGAAATGTAGGGTTTCGGGTTAGCGTGGGGGGGTTCAACTTTTTGTTCGCCTTTGGGTTTGGGGTCTGGAAAACATTGCTAGAGCTTAGCAAGCTTCAGATCATGCAGAATTCGCCCATGAACTACCTAAGCCTTATCATCCCTGACACTTTGGACGCTCTCATCTCTCCCGTTCCGGCATGAGGCTTTCTAGCCCAAACGAGAATCTGGCACAGGCATTGAAACAGAAACTCTACAAAGGTCTTGCTTAAGAGCGCAGGGCATCCAATAGCCTGACACATTCCTCCACTTCTTCTTAGACCTTGAACCTCAAACTTTCATTTCAATCCATACCCAGAACTCTTACACCCCAGACCCTAAAGCTTAGACCCTAACCAACGAAAACAAAACCCCAAAGCCTTCAGCCTCTGCCTTGAGCCATCAAGCCTCTACCTGCAACCTAAAACAACCCTCTGAGAGTCAGACATTGACATGCCCAAAGCTAAAGCTTTCGCCGGTCACACCCGCGCTATCCAGCACCTCATGGGCCAAATCCCTGAACCCTAAACCCATAAACCCTAAACCACTAAACCCCTAAACCCCAAACCCTAAACCCCTAAACCCCTAAACCCGAAACCCTAAACCCCTAAGCCCTAAACCCCTACACCCTAAACCCTTTGGGAGTTTTCATCCATGAGCTCACGAATCGGACAGACACAATCTATAGGCTCATGAAAAATATTCCTGAGGAAACCTATACACACCCACCAAAACCGCAACAAACACCCCATCTCATGTGAGCCATAGTCTAAGCTCCTGGTATCCTAATTAAGAACCCCCTATTCTGCTCGCCTATATGATCCCCAATATAACCCCCTTTTCAGCAATTTAAACTCTACTTCATATGGAGGTTTCTCAGGATGAGGGCCTTTTTAGGGATCCCATGGATATGCGGGGATCGCACAGGGATTTGGGGTTAAGGGTTTAGGGTACAGGGTGTAGGGTTCAGGGTACAGGGATAGAGGACTTCTGGTGAATTTCGGGTGTGGGACTTCTCAGGAGTTAGGGTTTAGGATGTGGGTTGTATAGTCCCCCTTAACTAAATAGAATATGGAATATATGGGGATCTTATTATAATATACCCAAAACTATATTGTATCTACTTAAAGGGGGGACTATACCTAAACCCTAAACCCCATATTCTATCAACTTGAGGGGGACTATAGTTCATGGCTCTA